TCTAATGGATACTGCTTGTTTGTTGAGTGTACATTACGTGGTTATTCAACAGTAGTTGACTGGCTTCGACTCGAATGTCTATTGAAGTTTTGAGTGTGATCCTTAAAAGTCATGTCCCGGGAGACTTAACTCCATGTCCTGCACTAAAAAACTATGTATGATAGAGGGGCGCTCACCGATTGTTCTTACGGAACTCACTCGTTCCGTTATGCCTTACAGTCTCTCTCTCTCTCCCTCTCTCTCTCGAGCCCAACTAGCAGCCGCGCAGAGGAGCATGATATAGGCAGAGTGTTATTAACGACAAAGATCTGTCAGCAATCCTCCCAAGTACCAAGCGCAACAGGAGATCCATTCAACTCTGAAATTCCCAGGAGCGAAGCTCCCATTTTCGGCTCCACAAAGTTGCCTTATAGACAATGGTCAACCGCCAATAAACGTTGTGGTATGGGGTCGAAACCAGGGAGTCCTAACAGGCAGACGAGGTAATGGGTTATTTCGGTTAGTTTGTCCAACAATATCGGCAGCCGACCTGCGTGATGAATTAAGGGGATCACGATAGGCACGAGCGCAAGCAGTGTTGCGGAGGTCGGCCTCAGTGCAACCCATTCCACCCGTTCATATCTCTAGCTGAGTGGAGACCGCCTAGATATCCTCCTACAGGTGGTCATTGTTAATTCGGCTTGGTTCTCCGCGCCAGGTCGGCAGACAGTCGTCTGCTTGTTTGGAGAATGAGCATTTCCAAAACAGGACTCCCGTGTGCTGACAACAGCCTGCACCTTTGCCGGTCAGAAGTTGCACTCTGAGTACTCTATTGTCATAGCCTTAGGTCAGCTGATCGACAGGTGCGCGTTAAATAAGATATATACGCCCATGTCTTGTTCGTTAGGAGTGTTAACCATATCCATCGGTTTGAATAAACCGATAGAAAGGCGAGCAGGTAGGTCGCCGCGACCTCACACGGCAACAGGTGCACATCGTCACGCCCCGAGCAAGGATAAGTGAATGAAATGGAAAGGGGGGTTCCAAGTTCCTCCAGACGATACGCTTCTGGAACTCGATGAATTGGTAAGCATTATTATCCGACCTGTGGCGATAGACAGCAAAGTTGCGAGATGTTGATGACACTAGGTTCACTTCGGCCCAACTGTGAAAAACTCGGTGCCTCGGTTCAATTATCTTCACGGACTCCATGACTGTCCACCTCTACAAAGAAACCCACCAAATCTGAGACTACGATTGATACATCGCGCTTCCCAGCGTTGTTAACAATATTTACTGCCGCACCGCCCTTAATCGCCCGAAACCGACATCTTCTGGTGCCTCACTGTAGACTATGAAGAAGAATCCATGAAACAACCTATGCGATGCTTAAATCAGCCACCTGAAGGAGAAATGCAAGGAATTTAGGGTAGTCATGGCACTACAGCTGTTGACTTCAGAAGGGTCACAGGTAACATGAACATGAGCACACCCTCAAAATAATCACAAAAGTTAGGAAGTCCGGGAGACTGGGGCTCTGACAAGCAGATGATTTCATGAAGTTTCGCAGATCAGGAACGTGAAAACTAGAGCGACCATTATAGCATCTACTGTGATGGCTGAGTGGAGGAGGGTTTAATACTCAATAATTCCGTCAGTAACGTGTGCGAACCAGGAGAGCGGCGTAAGGCAGCATTGTCGAACACCATCTCGAAAGGTATTACTATGGACTAGAATTCGAGCGGTGATGGAGCCACACACCGTTCACTACCATCCGACACAGGGAATCACAATTAACGGGATCGAACACAGCAGCAAAATCGACAAGACAGAAAACGGTCCAGTGTTCTGTCGCCCTCACGTCACGCACTCTAAGACCGCCTACAGTGACGTTGATGTGGCTTGTAGACAGGCACCAACGTGGCCGAGTCCGGTTAACGGATACGATCTCACCTCTCCGGGCTTGTCCAAGCCCTCATGACCAGATGATGAATCAGAATACCATCGTCGGCACAAGGTGTGGGAACCTCGGGAGGTTGCAGTTACCTCGTTTTTGCGGAGTCCCAAGGATATGCATGTGATCCCCTCTTGAGAGGCCGGCCGCCGGGAACTACGTAAGTGGTGAAGACTAAGAGTGCGACACGATCGATGGAAAGGACATGTTATTTGACCGACGCTCGATTCCATGATCAGAGAGCAGTTATCGCACCGAGTACAATCGACGGTGGGAACGTGAAACGACACACTTGATAGACATGTGGTTGTAACTGTATCCTAAAGGCGTTACGATCTTTGTGCGTCCACAATCCTTATCTGCTGCTGAGCTCGAGTGTTAATCCGCGGCGTTAGGCGAATAAAGTTCCCGCTCCGGCGGTCGCGCCTCCCCACCAATAAATTCCTGGCGCTCGTCAATCCGCCCGTTAAGGTTGAAAATCCGCTACAAAGGCGAGAGCGGACTCTGAGGGCTCATGCCAGGGTCGTCGGCACACTGTCATTCCGTGCGGAAGGTCCACCGCTATTTGCGTGGGTAAGCTGGAAGCGTTTTGAACACTGATCAGAAGAAGAAGCGATCGCTGGAAGTTGATCTTCTTCTGATCAACTAGTTCCTGGAACTCGCATTTTCGTTTGTTTTGAACACTGCCGACGTCTCGAGCCATCTCCACAGAGGTCGTCAACTTACCCGTGTAACTTTTTTTAGTCACCTTCAATCGATTTTGTTGCCATTTTCCGGAATTGGTCAAAGTAACTTTCATCGCAGAGCATGACTCCAGGCGCCTGGTCAGACTTCCTGGACAAATACGGTCATTGTACTTCCGATGGGCAAATTTAAGCTCTCCGAATTCCCTGTCGGACTTCAAGTAGGGCCACTTCCTGCTAACCTCTCCTTCGGTTTGAGTTGCAGAGTACGAAATTTGTTCGTGCTCAAAGCTTCAGCTGATGGATTGGTGTAGATCTGTGACATCGGAGAATCGTGTTCAAAACACTTTGTATGTAGTCAAGATTAATTTCCAGGTGTGTGAGAAAGAGAATATGGTTTGACCCAAATGTGTCGTCCATTTCGGCGACATGTACCGATCTACTAGCATTAACCAAGCTACGAGGCCTCGAGGTAGCTAGACGGCGATCAGTATGGCTGGTGGCCCGGCCATTGTTTGGATATCACTTAGCAATCCCTTGCGGCTATGATGTGAGCACAGGTTTGTGGCAAGCGGCTGATGTTCGTCGGCAAAACTTGCCCCATATACGGCAACGCCCAGAACGGCCCCACACTTCTCAACCCCCACACTCGCATTTAAGTAGTTTCTCAGTCAACTCCTGGAGATGTCAGCAATAAGGTTCCCTATTCATTTGGGTAGAAGTTTACATTGAAGGGCGGGCACAAACTACAGGTAGGTAACCCATCGGGTCTAGAGTTCTAGAAAACCCGATCCGGTATATGGACGAGCGGCAGGTGTCGTTACTCTGACAAAGACTGCACGCTATCAGGTCATGGCTACTAAACCAGATAAACGTCCGCAAATCCGTCCCCCTACTGAGCATTCTAGCTCGTATGCTACTAGTCTGCGCCGCTAGGTTAGGGTTGTAAACGGCCTTGGCTCCCACGGACACCGCAGCTTGGATCCCCTGCGCTGTTGAGACATTTTGACAAACTCAGGGAGACGGCGCATGCGGGCCCCGCCGACCAACTCCACTGCTTGTTAGCCTACGTCCTATAACATTTTGCCTTGGAGACCTACCCGCAAAGCAGCAGTAAGAAAACATCAGTGGCACCATCCGACTTTATGTTATAGAGCCGCCAGCGCGTCGGATTTCAGCCGTACGTGACCCGGGACCCCCGTCGCACCCACTCATCTGTCAGAGCCGATATAATGCCTACTTTGTCTTTTTACTGAACGCCACTCTGTTATCAGCCACATATGGACGCGTCCGGCACCCGGGGCTCATCGTAAACCGTAGGCGCAACTTCCAATACTAGAAGTGATCCCACGGGCCCCACGAGTAGAGGCCATACTGGTCACAGTTTGCATTTTTAGAAATGATAGAGAAAACCATCTCAAAAATGGTTGTCGCTGTCGGGGATTTGATTCGCTTCAAGGAAGCAGGCATTAAAAAATCATCTAGCCGCCCACGATCCAGACATGCATAGTCACTCTGCCTCCTAGTGATGGCTGAACGCTGTGTAAGGGTCTACGTCGCGGCTCTTAGGTGGGAAATGCTACATTATAGGCCGATTTACACTACCCCGTGTGCCTTTCAATGCGGCCAGTATCAGACGACAGGGGAAGTGCTTAAATGTACAGAGGACGTACCATGAAGAGCAGTCCGTCAGTTGAGATCACCTGTCCAAGAACCTAATTTAAGCGAGCGACCGGCAGTAGAGAAATACTGAGGACAAAGATAAGAGGGCCGTAATTTTCACTGTTGCTGTCAACATCTAGTCACCAAGAATCCGTTTATCCATTATGCGTCATCCTACAGATCCACTTACACATAGGGCATTCTAAACACAAGAACTAAGCGGCCTTGATTTTTCGCGGTCAGTGAGGACGATACCGCCCCCTGATAAACGGACGATGCTCTCGCAAAAAAGTACGAGATATTCGGGGACGTAATAACAGTCAAGGGGATATTGGCCATAGCTACGCGGCCTTATAAAGCACAAACTTATTTTAAAGGGTAATGTGCGATTGTAAATCACGGGCACTAGGTGCGGTCAGGCCTGTTTATTCGGCCTTATAATTTAAGTTTTGAGTGAGATTCGGGTAATCCCTTGTCAGCTACACTGACCAGACTTGGGTTTCCACAAAATCTATCAAAAGACCCAGAACAATCAGTAGCAACCCTTCAGAAGTTTAGCGGAGCTGATATAGCCCGATTGCAATCCACGTGCGCCCGACATATCTTCGAAAGGAACACACATCACACAAGATTAGTACTATCACTCGTATTCAAGAGTAATGAGACTCGCAAACAAAGGACGAGTAGAATAAAACCGCTAGATAAGGCATGTAAAATAAGCGTTAGTGGGCAACAATATAAGCTCCTTTAACGTGTTTGTATCCTATAAGACTCCTTCGGCCGATGATTTCGCCGACGAAGAACCACATAAGGACCTCAATCGCGACAATCGAATCCAGGGCGACATCCTATTAATAAGTAACAAAATCAAAAACGCGAACCTTAATCTTCTTTTGGAGAATGGCGCCAGACTTTAGGTAGGCCACAAGAGTTTTGCCTTCCTGAACAGCTAACGTTACTTCGTTCTTGTTTGGGGGCCGCATTTCGACACGGGCGTACTGAACAAACTTTGTGGCAGCTGGCTTAACTGTCTCCGCACCAAAACGATAAAGGCCTTTGGTAGCGTAAATATACTAAATCGGAAAGTTACGTATGGCATATTTCGGAGAATTCTCCACGAAAAACTTCACGATGTTCGACATCTCCGAAAGACCCGCCTGTCCGAGGGCGACTAAAACACAATGCACCGAACGTCTCCTTGTTTCAAGTTAGTAGTAGAATTATCCGTGAATCCAAGGGCTTCTCGACAACTTAGTGCCCTTATGTGTGTATTCGCGTGGGCAGGAAACCCCATCTCGATAGTGAGGCGTCCAGTAAAGATCGGCATTTGGTTTTTGCACCGGTGGAAATTGGGTTGTTCAAGTACGCTGAATGAATGCACAATGCCGGATACAAAGTGCGGCGGGGTTCTTACAGAGCAAATTGGACCAGTCATTTGCTTTTGTTTTAGGCTGGAAATCGGACACAATCCTTGCTGTATGTCGGCGACTTGAGGAACTAATAAGAGGAGTCTGTGTTCAAATTACAAATCAGAGACTTCTTGATAGATAAATGGTGAAGAATTTTATGAACAGCCTCAAAAACGAAAAATGCATGGAACGTTTGCAGAACCTTTAGATGAAAAACACCAAAGGACTGAAGTTATGAAAACGGAAGATTAATTAACTTGAGTGCAAAAACAGACAAGCTTGTGCAGCAGGAAGGAGATTTCCGAGAGTGTCTTCTAATATAAAATTTCTGGCCTCCACCAAAAATTGAAACAAATAACACCTTATTGCTGTTGATCCTCCGGGTAGATTCGACCTACACCCCTTATAGCACGACCAGGGTGATTTTCCACAAGTGCAGTCTATTTTCTGGAAATCTTGACTTTGGCGACGCAACCTACAAGTCCGAAATACTGTATCGAACGTTTTCCGAACTATTCGAACAGGATGTGCAAAAGTCCGATTCCGTAATTTTCTAGATCGCTGAATTTGCTGTTTGAAGTTTGACCATCACCTATTTATCAGACCAGTTTACAAATCCGGATCCATCGTTATCAGTCTCCCACTGCAACGATGGTCTTCGCGGTTTTTGATATTATCTCCTAACTTTGAATGCAAGCGATCTGTTGACAATCACGGCTGACTCCTCTGTTTCCGCTGTCTGTTAGTAGTTTTGTTGGTTAACAAAGAGTTATCGTGGTCGCATTTCCCAGCACTTTGATGACCGTCGCAGCCCTTTATGTGCCCTCCTCGCCTGGACTCAAAGCGGACAGTGGCGGATTGCGTCTAGGTTTCTTTCGTCTCGCCACATTAACGGTTGTTTCTCTTTTCAACACAAAAATATTACGATCGCATCTGCAGCAAAAGCCCCACCCAGTTTGGGAATGCTACCTTGACGATGCCCGTTTCGAACCCTCATATAACAACATGTGCAGGACGGTCCTTTCCGACCCGCATATTAACCTTCCCGTGAGCGACAATGTTCTCTCCTTAAAAACTTCCAAACTGCAGTCAATTTGTCTTTTCAAATAACGAAGGCTTTTTTTGCTGTTCTTTGGCCGTTTCTCATACCAAAGCGCCGATTTTACGAGCACGGACTGAACGCTGTGAAGTGTTGTTCGCCTATTCACCTTGAAATTACCCCTAGGGTTTATTTTTGAATTACCATGATAGCATCCCTGTAGGTGATACTTTCCAGCTGCGTCTTTCACTGTTGTGGGCCTTACTGCTTCCACTAACACGTCATTTTCACAGGCCTATTCCGTCACTGTACGTGAACCTCCAGAGATGAGAGTTTATTTTTAACCGGTCTTCCGTTTGTACTCCCCGAAATTCTGAGCCAGACATGTCAACGATGCATTTTTCGTAATTAAGAGGAACGGCGCTCGAGACTCAAGGGCTTATTGAACTCAATATTTTGCGACATCCATTTTGCAAGGAAAGGACAAAATAACATACAGCTGTCCTTCCTCAACGTAAATGTTATGGGGACGTCAAATGAACAATAAGAACTGGGACACACCGTAGGACAACAAATACCAGATATATCCTTCGATTCCGAAGTAACCTCCCCAGTGCTCACAAAAACAGTTGTGTTGGGACAGAGTTTTAACGAATTCACACACTTTTGTGAAGATGATGGGGGAAGGGAGGAGCGAAATACTTGCATTCCATATTCACAGCCAGTGGTTACCCACGTTCCTTCATATGTGGATGCCGAAGGAAGTCTACCCGTTAGCGGCCAAGTGGCGGCAAACCGAAGTTTTAGCTCGCGACCACCTATGTGAGGAATGTTTTGGAGGTGACAGCAGGAATTCTATATCCTTCTGGGATTAAATGGGTCCAGAAACCGGAATTACTTATCAAGCAGTGGATAATGACACCCATGGACCAGCTACCGTTGACGGAACAGCAATGATCTACAGCATCCCAGGTCAAACTTGTATTTATAGACATGTTGGTGAAAAGGACAAACGCCTCTGCCCAATTTTGCATGGGCAAAAGCTTCCAGTCAACCGCGAGGATAGGTTGTCACTGGTGAGACATCTATTCAACTACGCGTTCAAACCGCCGAACGTGATCCGCACATGTGGCGACAGCTGATCGGCTTGTCCGGTGATGAGTGGAGAGCCCATGGACACACTGGTCGTGCAGCGATTACGGCAGCCATGCAGAGGACGGAGGCCACACGAGTGCGCCTGCGGTCGGTCACGGACAGACCGAAGCCAATCCCCTGTCAGAAGGCGGGCCAGATTTCGTTCTTGTAAAAATAATTAGTTTAAGATGGCCGAATAATCGAAACCTCGCCGACATCGGTGGGATTTAAAACAAGGAAAACAATAGGCGAATGGGCTTGAGTACAACCTATGCTCTGGCCACCCGAGCTACGAGGCCGAACCGCGAGCCGTGAATTTAATCACATACGGGTCAAGTTGAATCTCGCCGAGCCCGCCGGGTTGTTCAAAACTCAGTCAAATAAATTATTCAGAATCTGTAAAAATGCCCACTTAAGTGGGTACAAACATGCATTTCCCTCAAATAAACTAAACCAAATGTACCGGAGAAACGCATCACGATAGCGCAAGATGCTGGTATTGTGTCCCTACACCCATTATTCTGTTTCTCTTCCCTCTCACTTCCTATCTCATCTCCCCCCCCTCCTATCAAACGATCTCATGCAGGCGGCAACGTTCAATCCTGTAGTTGGCCCATGCTAACTCGCTTCATTCTCCAATTAAAGCAATGGCAGCTAAACAAATACTTCGATCACGCCCCTGCACGCTGACTGTGGCTCGCAGAAGCAATCAAACAACCAACAACCCTCGTCCTTATCCAGTCAGTCTCGTCCCACAAGCTCTTAGAATGGTTCTGCTCACTCTAACGGTCTCGAATGCTTGTTCTGTCTTAAACAGTCCGCGTAGCCAGCTACCGGGAAGTAGGATGGCGTTGGTCCCTCGAGAACTGGTGCGCTAAAATTCGGACATCGTTGCTGTCAGCGATAGTCGATTCTCCGAACCGGGCCAACTGGAAGAGGTGGGTGCCGGCCTCATCTGATTTTGGAATGACCGCCCGAACGAAATGGCAAGATGACCAACGTCTGCCGCACGGCATCAGCAACCGTCTCGTGAGCTTGCTTCAGAGAAAGACAAAATTCGATGCCATCTCCAACGCCTTTTTTCTCCCAATGACAGAATTTGATGAGAAAAGGACCAAGTTTACGAAAATTTGCACACCCTCCTGGCGAACGCTCTGAAAGCGTACAAGTTGGTTTTACTTAGGGGCTTTATTGTCTGCGACGAGCCAGGCCGAGCTGCCTGAAATGGAGTGTTGAATTCCCATGGATATGGCGGCAGCAAGGACAACGGCCTACAGCTTATGCGAGCTTGCGCAGAATACCGCTGCTTCCTCCTCCTCCTCCTCCTCCGCCTCCTTTTCCTCGCCATTAGATTCTTCTGTCCTCTGTCACGGTAGCGGAAACCTGGGTGCACCCTTGATCTGCGTGTTGGACTGCGTTCTCGTCCAGACGCGAGACTATTCGCAAGGGCTGATGGCAGAGAAGATCTACGACGCCGACGGCCAGAAAGATGACCTTCTCGTCATCTCAAGGATATGGCTGCAAGCGTAACATCGCAGGCGTCCATAAGGTATGAGACCACCACGTTAATTAATTACTGTTTTATTTACTTTGTCTGCCAACCATTTCAAATTCAGAAACATATTGACTCAACGGTCGAAGGGTCTGCAGGCTCCAGATGATAACGCGACTGCAAACGCACGATGTTAGTTGCGGAAAGTCGCCCCCATTACCGTCCTGAACGTTTTCGGTCGCCCACGCCAAAAACATCTGGATTGGTTCAACGAAAACGATGAAAAAGTCCGCAATCTGCTCCCCAATAAGAATAGGCTATGCAAAGCTAACGTCGACCGGGTAACCGAAGCAAACGAATCAGCCCTCTTCAGACTTCGCCTTTTGGTGCAATCACATCTGCGGGGGATGCATAAGGTCGGCATGAGTAGCAAGGCCACCAAAATGTTAGGATACGCAGACCGCAAGGAAACGGAAAGTTTCTTTCCGTCAATTAAGACGGTCTACGGCCACACAACCGACGCAACCGCGCCGCTGTAGAGCGTCGGCGTGCCAATACTTTTACAGAGAAACCGCGGATTCTGAAGCGCTGACCGAGCACTTTAGAACCTGACTGGTTTAATTTCGGAGAAAACCAATGCGCGAACTTGGAGTAAATCTCTCAGGCTTTTAGCTAATACCTGTTTTGTTAGTACGGTAAATAATTGCACTTTAGAATCGTCCAAAACCGCCTATCGACCATCTCCGACGACGTAATCGATCGGCTCTCCGGTGGAAACGAACAGTCACCTGGACCTCCCACCTTTCCTCTCAAAAACTATTAGGGCCACGCAGCGCCTCTTCAACAGAAAAGTACAGGGATCCGATGAAATCCTGACCATATTCTTTAAGCCCGGCAAACTTCGCCGATGGAAAAACTCACATTGCTGTTCTAGGAAGCCGCTGGTTTTAAATTTGAAGATAAGTGGTGGATATTATTTTAAGTGGTTTTTCTGTGAGACCTAACGATTTTAGTACCTGTTTTTTTTGTTTGAATTTCCTTAAATACAGGCCTCTTCTCTAAGAACTGCCTGCTGCCATCTCCTTTCGAGTTTGCTAGTCTATGCCCGTTGTTCACTAATCGCACTCTGCAATTCTCATTTTGTGCACCCGATCTCTCTCTAACTGTTGTAATTTATTTTTACATCGTTAGCCCCTAGCTGAAATTCCGTCAACTTGTCTGCCAGAAGTTTTCTTAATCACAAATTGCCTCGAGACAAGATGAGACCAAAAGTCACTGGTCGACGTAAGCTCTCGGCTCTTGTAAGTAACCATGGCCTAACTAAACGTAAGTCAGAAGCTTTACCTAAATCTAAGTCAGATGATATTACTAGTCAGTCGTCACCCGTTGTAATTGGTCGGCAGCTTAATCTGTCTGCACGTGACCACTGCAATGACTTTATGCTAAAGTTAGGCTCTTTGCAGACAATTCTTGGACATTTATTCGACGGGAACATCTCCGATATTCCCTCTGAAGAATGTAGGCGTCTCGACTCACTAGTTCACCTGATCGCCAGTGAATCTAGTGATAGACAGAAGCGTTCTTACAACTTCCTGCTAAAAAATGTTCCTCGATCTGCTCGGCTAATTGATGTTGCGACCAATTTCCTGTATTCATGTGGTTTCAACTACAAAATAGCCGATGCCAAACGCTTGTCCTCCCGTAGTACAATTCCACCCATCTTAGTCAAATTGTTTTCATCAATCGAAGTTGACACAATCTTTACTCATCGAGAGCGTGTCACTGCGTACCTAGAGAAGGCAAAAATTTTCCTTTGTCATGATCTTACCCCTATGGAGCGTAGAATCGGGTCTCTATTCTCACGTAAACCTACTGCTTCTCAGTCTAATGCTCCCCAACTCGGTCATAATACAAGTGGCCGCAAGGATTCAGCTTCTCCTACTCCTGCGACTTCTGACTCCCTCCTTCCTCTTTCTCCTACATCTCCATCTCACTCAAGCCACTTGACGCATTTGCCTGCCCCTAAACTTGCAGCATCAGCAGCCCCATTTGTCGTTTCGTATCCTCCGGATAGTCCCGCTGAGACACATGAAAATCCGTCTACATCAGCTAGACCGATAACTTCTATTGTCCAACTGGGTGCTGTAAGGTCTACAGCTAAGTCACCCGTGGCTTGGCGTCAGAACGGTGAGACTCGAAAATTGAATCAGACTCCGACCCCAAAGATAGGTAGTACAGTTCCGTTTAGGGGTACGACGCCTTCTCTTAGATCTAACAAGTCTGTTCAGCCCAGCACGTCTACAAACCCCGCAGCTCCAATTATATCCCCGAATAATTCTCTGTCCTGCGTACCGGTTACTTATCAAAGCCCTACTATATATCCAGCAAATAATTCATACATGAATTGCCCTAAATCATTTATGCCCCAACCTAGTTCAGGCTTCCCACCACTTAAGGCCAATTGCTCTCAGGTACGTCAACCTATCTCCTTTGACTTCCAATCTAGACCTGGTTTCCCACCATTTCATTCTTTTAGTGGCCTACCCTCACCCATTAGCCCCTACTTTCCTTCTAGCCTCCCTCCTCCTCCTCCCCTTCCTCCATTATTTAACTACCAACAAGTCTATCCATGTTCTAACTCCCCTAGCATTCCAATGTTTGAAAACTATATCCCCACCTCCTTTAGGTCGCATACTCAGCCTTCTCTTGCTGACTCCCCGTACGTCAATAAGTCTAAATTAACTGGTACTTATTCTCCAAGTGTCATTAATTCGCAGCTTACATATACGCCTCCGAATTTTTTAAATACCGTCGAAAATAGCATTGCCGTTCGAAACACATTAGATATTATATTATTGAATGCCAGGTCTGTTATAAACAAGATGGCCCAAATCAGAGCCATTGCTCTGGAAATGACGCCTGATATTATATGTGTAACAGAATCTTGGACACATTCTCTAATTCCTGACTCTGCCCTTCTCATAGATGACTTCGATTTTTACCGCCAAGACCGCACGACTAGGCGTGGGGGTGGTTGTCTTCTTTATCTTAAATCCTACCTAAACCACTCTCCCTATTACTTGGATGTTTCCTCATTCACGGGAAACTTCTGCTTTGCATCTGTTATTCTCTCGCCGCAAAGAAAGGCAATTATTGGCTGTATCTACAATCCCCCAAATTCTTTAGCCAGTGAATATTCACAACTCTGTGAAATCTTTAAATTAATTTCGGAAGCTGCTTTCGATGTTAAAATAATCACTGGGGATTTTAACCTTCCTGAAATTGACTGGGTTTCCAATAGCTGCCCACCCAGATTCCAGCCCTTTCAAGATATTGTCAATTTTTCTAATTGGTCCCAACTGGTGCGCTCTCCAACTAGAGATAATCACATTTTAGATCTAATCTTTACCAATGACATTGCACCTCTTTCTGTTGCTTTAAAAAAGGACCTCTTTGACAGTGACCACGTATTAATTCGTTGTTGCTTACCGCTTGCCTTTTCAAAAAAGACAAGCGCCGTTCAGAATTTCATGAACTACGACTGCGTTGATAGCGACTTAATAAATAACTATATGAGATCCTTGGATTGGTGTGGCATCCTCACTTGTAGCGATGTAACCATTCTTCGTGATGTCATGTCCAATGTTTCCAAGGACATTCTAGAGTTTGTGCCGCGTAGATATCTCAAGCCTAATTCTTCAGATTCCTTTGTTCCTCATTTTCTCCAGAACAGACTAAAAAAGTTGAGGCGACAACTGCGTGATCCATCCACTAGTTCCTTATCTGTTCATCTTAGAATCACAGAGATATTTGAGATGGCCTCAAGGATGCGCCAAGCGCGCGACAGGCAAAGAGAATCACTTGCTCTCAGTGGTTCGAACCCTGGCAAATCCGTCGCTAACATCTTCCGTCATCGGTCCTCCTCTAAGCGTGGTCATGAACTTCCACCCATGCTAAATGATAACAAAGTCTTCCTCACCGATGACACTGACAAGGCGGAGTTGTTTAGTGCTTTCTTTGCAAAACACCTTGCTACCGAGTCCGATCCGATCCCTTTCTTTCGACCACTTTCAGATAGGACACTGAGTACAATTGATGTCTCCTCAGATCTCCTTAAGAAACACATAAGCCGTTTGAAATACTCACACTGCTCAGGAACGGACGGGATTCCGAATTCGATTATTAAACAAGCGCCCGACCTTCCCATATTGCTTAATCATTTATTCTCTGTCTATATTTCAAAAGGATTCTTTCCTGAAACATGGAAAACGTCAATTATCATTCCCGTTTTCAAGTCAGGATCTCGGTCCGATGTTAATAACTATGGGGGCGTGCACAAAACGCCGTCTCTAGCAAAGCTTCTTGAAAGGATTATTTTCAATGAAATTCTCGACTTCTGTCTAGCTAATCGGCTTCTGAGCTCTAGTCAGCATGGATTTTTACCTGAACGATCCTGCGAAACATGCCACTTGGCTTTTCTTAATCTAATCACTTTTCTTCGTAATGAGCGGCAGTCAGTGGTAGTTATTTACTTTGATCTTAGCAAAGCCTTTGACAAGGTGCCCCATAGACGTCTTTTAGTAAAATTGGAAGCTCTCGGCATCCGGCCGCCTCTACTCGACTTCATCAGGTCTTATCTGTCCAACCGATATCAGAAAGTCATGGTCGGTAATAGCTACTCGACACCCCACTCGATCACGAGTGGCGTACTTCAAGGAACGGTTCTGGGTCCGCTACTCTTCCTTCTGTACATCAATGATATTTCGACTGAACTCGGAAATTCGCAAACTTTTACTTATGCCGATGACCTCAAGTGTGTTTACTCATACTCTAAGGACACCGCAAATG